GGTTGCAGATCCGAGTCTCTGAAAGAGTTCTGGTACAAGGGGAAGAGGATGACAGTTTTTCACGGTGATTTTAATGAGCTCCCAGTACTCCATGCATGACCATAGGGAATGATCCTTCTTTTCCATGCAGAAGATTCCTGCCCTTGCTGGGAAAATTGAGAGATGAATGAAGTTTCATCAACATATTTCCTTCAAGGCCTCCGGTGCTTGTTCAGAAAGAGGAAGGGAACTCCTAAAGCGTCAGCATACCAAGACATTTTGGACAATCTGATGCTCCCAACTTTGTGGGAACAGTTTGCGGGTTGCCCCTTCCTGTTCCAACATGACTGCGTACCAGTGCACAAAACAAGTTCCATGGATGAGAGCGTTTGGGGTGAAGGAACTTGAATGGCCGGCGCAGAATCCTGACCTCAACCTGATAGTACACCTTTGGGATGAGTTAGAGCAGAGACTGCAAGCCAGGCCTTCTCGTCCAACATCAGTGCCCAAACTCACAAATGCGCTCCTGGAAGAATGGTCAAACATTCCCATAGACACACTCCTAAACCTTGTGGACAGCCTTCCCAGAAGAGTTAAAGCTGTTATAGCTGCAAAGGATGGGCCAACTCAGTATTGAACCCTAAGACTGGGATGCCATTAAAGTTCATGTGCGTTTAAAGGCAGGCGTCCCAATCCTTCAGTGTATGAACAAATGGAATAAACTTTTCTCTCACAGTAAGTTGAATGAGGTAATTTCTAGGTTATATCAGCTCAGTCCAAATCATTTTACCACTAAAATATGATAACCCAACAAAGAACAGCATCAGCAATAAAGGGTATCAATAATAATGAATAATCCCAAAGCAGCTCCTCTGCAATCAATATATATGTATATATATATATATATATATATATATATATATTTATATTTACACTGCTCAAAAACATTAAAGGAACTCTTTGAAAACTCATCAAATCTCAGTGGGGAAAAATATATTATTATTATTATTATTATACAGGATTTATATAGCGCCAACAGTTTGCTCAGAGCTTTATAATATAATGGGAGACAATACAGCAACAATACAGTTCAATACAAGAGAGATAGGTGGGCCCTGCTCCTTGGAGCTAACAATCTAGGAGGGAGGGGCTAGTGGTACAAGAGGTGGTAACTGTGGGGGATGGACTGGTAGGAAGAGTAGAAGATTCCATTATTAGCTGACGGCAGGATAAAATATGCTGGATATTTATACCGATGTGGAATGGGTAATGTGTTAGAAACATAAGGATGCCCCATCGTTTGATGGAAAGGAAAATGATCAACCTATAGATGACTGAATTCAAAGACACCCTGAAAATCAAAGTGGAAAAAATTATGCAGCAGGCTAGTCCATTTTGCTGAAATTTCATTACAGCAACTCAAAATGGTACTCAGTAGTCTGTATGGCCCGCATGTGTTTGTATGCATGCCTGACAATATCGGGGCATGCACCTAGTGAGACGACAGATGGTGTCCTGGGGTTTTGCCTCCCAGATCTGGACCAGAGCATCACTGAATTCCTGGACAGTCTGAGGTGCAACCTGGTGGTGGCGGATGGATAGAAACATGATATCCTAGAGCTGTTCTATTGAATTCAGGTCAGGCGAGCGTGGGAGCCATTCAATGGTATCAATTCCTTCATCCTCCAGGAATTGCATACTCTTGCCACATGAGGCTAGGCATTGTCGTGCACCAGGAGGAACCCAGGACCTACTGCACCAGCATAGGGTCTGACAATGGGTCCAAGGATTTCATCCCGATTCCTAATGGCAGTCAGGGGGCCATTGTCTAGCCTGTAGAGGTCTGTGCATTCCTCCATGATTATGCCTTCCCAAACCATCACTGACCCCCAACCAAAATGGTCATGCTGAATGATGTTACTGTCAGGGTCCTGTCCACAGCAGAAGTTCTGGAAGATCTGGCATTTCTGCCAGTACTCTACATGGCCACAGTACTTCACATTAGCCTCAAGCCTCAGTCTGGCGCCAGATGGCCTTTATAAGGAGGCTCATCACTTCCTCTAGTTGCTGGATGATCTCTAGCTCCCCGTGCCCACTTCCTGTTTCCTGTGATTCTGACCTGTGATTTCCTGTTACCGACTCGGCTTGCTGCTGGACCTGTCTACTCTGCTTTACCCCTGATATGGCCTTGCATACCACGCACAGGCGCCTCCTGTCTTAAGATCTATCTCCGTGCACCAGCTGTGCTTCTGAGTGGACCACCAACCAGCACTCCTACAGGCGACCTGTGCAACTTTGGGCCTGACTCCTGCTGTCCCACTCTCAGGGGCATCTGGAACTTAGCCGCAAGGGAAGCCCTCTCTCCATTGGCCTCCATCACCAGGTACGTGATAGTTACAGGCAGCATAACGTTCTCCATAGCTTCGCCAGACTCTTTCACGCCGGTCGCATGTGCTCAGAGTGAACCTGCTATCATCTGTGAAAAGCACAGGGCGCCAGTGGTGGACCTGCCAATTCTGGTGTTCAATGGCAAATGGCAATCAAGCTCTATGATTCCGGGCAGTGAGCACAGGGCCCACTAGAGGATGTCAGGCCCCCAGGCCAACCTCATGAAGTCTGTTTCTGATTGTTTGGTCAGAGACATTCACACCAGTGGCCTGCTGGAGGTCATTTTGTAGGGCTCTGGCAGTGCTCATCCTGTTCCTCCTTGCAAAGGAGCAGATACTGGTCCTGCTGATGGGCTAAGGACCTTCTATGGCCCTGTGGCCCTGTCCAGCTCCCCTAGAGTAATTGCCTGGAAGCTCCTCCATGCTCTTGATACGGTGCTGGGAGACACAGCAAACCTTCTGGTAATGGAACGTATTGATGTGCCATCCTGGAGGAGTTGGGCTGCCCGTGAAACCTCTGTAGGGCCCAGGTATTGCCTCATGCTACCAGTAGTGACACTGGCCCTAACCAAATGCAAAACTAGTGAAAAACAGAGAAGGTGAGTAGGAAAAAAAATATCAGTGGTCTCCACCTGTAAAATCATTCCTGTTTTGGGGTCATCTTATTGTTGCCCATCTAGTGCCCCTGTTGTTAATTTAATTAAAAACCAAAGCAGCTGAAACTGATAAACAACCCCCTCTGCTACTTAACAAACCAGATCAATATCCCAGGAGTTTAATTGATTTGATGCAATACACTGATTAAAAAGTGTTCCTTTATTTTATTGAGCAGTGTGTGTGTGTGTATATATATATACAGTCATGGCCGAAATTGTTGGCACCCTTGATATTTTTCCTGAAAATCAAGTATTTCACACAAAAAAGGTATTGCATTAACACATTGTTTTGCTATACACATGTTTATTCCCTTTGTATGTATTGGAACAAATATAAAACAGAGGCAGAAAAGCAAATATGACATAATGTCACACAAAACCCCCAAAATGGGCTGGACAAAAGTATTGGCACCCTTAACTTAATATTTGGTTGCACACCCTTTGGAAAACATAACTGAAATCAGTCGCTTCCTATAACCATCAATAAGCTTCTGACACCTCTCACCCGGAATTTTGGACCACTCTTCCTTTGCAAACAGCTCCAGGTCTCTCTTATTGGAAGGACACCTTTTCCCAACAGCAATTTTAAGATCTCTCCACAGGTGTTTCAATGGGATTTAGATCTGGGCTCATTGCTGGCCACTTCAGAACTCTCCAGCGCTTCTTTGCCATCCATTTCTGAGTGCTTTTTGACGTATGTTTGGGGTCATTGTCCTGCTGGAAGACCCAGGATCTTGGACGCAAACCCAGCTTTCTGACACTGGGCCCTACAGTGCGACCCAAAATCCTTTGGTAATCCTCAGATTTCATGATGCCTTGCACACAGTCAAGCACCCAGTGCCAGAGGCAGCAAAACAACCCCAAAACATCATTGAACCTCCACCATATTTTACCGTAGGTACTGTGTTTTGTTCTTTGTAGGCCTCATTCCGTTTTCGGTAAACAGTAGAATGATGTGCTTTACCGAAAAGCTCTATCTTGGTCTCATCTGTCCACAAGACGTTTTCCCAGAAGGCTTTTGGCTTACTCAAGTACATTTTGGCAAACTGTAGTCTTGCTTTTTTATGTCTCTCTGTGTCAGCAGTGGGGTCCTCCTGGGTCTCCTGCCATAGCGTTTCATTTCATTTAAATGTCGACGGATAGTTCGCGCTGACACTGATGCTCCCTGAGCCTGCAGGACAGCTTGAATGTCTTTGGAACATGTTTGGGGCTGCTTATCCACCATCCGGACTATTCTGCGTTGCAATCTTTCATCAATTTTCCTCATCCGTCCACGACCAGGGAGATTAGCTACAGTGCCATGGGTTGCAAACTTCTTGATAATGTTGCGCACTGTGGACAAAGGCAAATCTAGTTCTCTGGAGATGGACTTGTAACCTTGAGATTGTTGATATTTTGCCACAATTTTGGTTCTCAGGTCCTCAGACAGTTCTCGTCTCCTCTTTCTGTTGTCCATGCTTAGTGTGGCACAGACAGACACACAATGCAAAGGTTAAGTGAACGTCTCTCCTTTTTATCTGCTTTCAGGTGTGATTTCTATATTGCCCACACCTGTTACTTGCCCCAGGTGAGTTTACAGGAGCATCACATGCTTGTAACATTCTTATTTATCCGCAGTTGTGAAAGGGTGCCAATACTTTTGTCCACCCATTTTTTGGAGGTTTGTGTGACATTATGTCGAATTTGCTTTCTTTCCTCCCTTTTTTTTTTTGTCCCAATACACACAAAGGGAATAAACATGTGTATAGCAAAACATGTGTTAATGCAATACGTTTCGTGAGAAATACATGATTTCCTGGAGAAATATCAAGGTGCCAACAATTTCGGCCATGACTGTATATATATATATATATATATATATATATATATATGTGTGTGTGTGTGTGTCTTTTTTAATAAATCAGATTCAAGTTTGAATGAAAGTACTCATCCCTAAAAACATCTGTTTTCTGGTTATTCCCTGGTTATCACAGTGATGCTAGAAAGATATTGTACGACAGTTACACGATTTCTGACAGTGTGCTCTAGCACAGAAATATGTGGCTGTATCTTCAGCGACCAGATTCTTCAGTTCTAAAAAAACCACACTCTCCTTGTTGTTCCTTGTTATTTCTATACGTCCTTCTAAAGATTTGGCATACACTGTTTTACTGGCATCATACCAAATTGCTCCTATCCATTCAAGACCTTTCCCAGGTGCCTGACGTATCCAGTGCATTCCAGCTTGACTAAAATCAAATCCAGTTCCTTTGCAAGTTAGCTTGAAAGACTCATTCGGTTTCTTTAGCAACTGTGAGTCCGTCTGTGTGAGCATAGGATCAGACCGGATGCCTGAAACAGAAAATACGTATGAGTCAGTTTAGCTGGCTTTCACATTTTGAAAAACATAAGTAAGATAAATAAATTAATAATTAATTGAAGATGTACATTATAAAAATGACTTCATCAATGTGCGTACCTGTTACACACATTAGGAGACAAGTCAAGGTTAACAAAAGGCCCATGATGGTGTGTTGTACAAAAGACTAGGGGATAGCAAGTGGGACTCCAAGGTGGAACTTATATTTAGACAAGGGAGGTCATATTTGAATAGTAGATTTGCATCCGTATTGTAATACATTGATAAATTGTAACACCACTAATATTTCGGAGTTCAGTTTGACCATTTTATTCCATTATAATTTATGTAAAAAAGTTATATATATTATTTATCCACAGGGCTGTCTTAATGCAAGGTCACCCCTGGGCATTGCCCAGGGGTCCCAGGTGCATGGGGGCCCCGTAATAATCTTGAATTACTTCATACTTATCAAATGTCCCAGAGATTTGCCAGGTCATTCAAGCTTTTTTACTAAACTGTCCCACAATGGCCTGGGCAGCATCCCAGAACCTGTACTGTGACCTTCTGATCCCGGTATTGTGCCCTCCTGACTCCCTCTGTACTGTGCCCTTCTGCTAGCCCCCCCCTTTGTGTTGGTTGATCTTTGATTTATGGCATGTTTAAAATCAATTTTATTGAAAGTACTAATAAATACCATATATGTTTAATTCTATCAACTGTTTAAAACTTTAATTCTTGATAGTAGGTGCGGAAATTGGGGCAGGCTTGTAGGGGCCCTAGTGCATTACTTTGCCCAGGGACCCATGATTCTATTAAGATGGCCCTGCTTATCCATATGTGCTAATGCACAAAGTTGAAGCAACTTTCAGAGGACTGTGTCTTGTGGAAAATCTTGGGGATAGACTGTTCACTTTGCAAGAGAATTTACCCTTAGCCTATTGAATGAAGTGTCGTTCTGCTGACTTCCAGCAACCAATAATGTACAAGCAAAGATACTGTTTTCTGTTTTTTTTTTAAATTATTTTTCTAGCACGTGATTGGGTTTTCTTTGTAAAGTGAGTTTCCACTAACCTAAGGGAAGATTACCTTCCAAGGTGTAAATTCCCTTGCAAAGTAAACAGTCTAGTCCTTTTTAGTAAGTCAATCGCAGTGTGTGTGATTATTTACTATTTTCTTTTTTTATGAATGAGTAGGGGTGCCATATACCCCTTACTCATTCACATATGGAGCCACCTTTTTTTAAAGGCGGCTTCCAGATTTAGATAAGCCCTCCACCCACAGACCCCACAATTACTGGGCCAGGTTTGTGGGGAAGAGGCCCTTGTTTCCTCTGGTAAGGTACTTCCCCATGTTGAAGGCATGTTGCCTGGTATGGTTCAGGAGGGGGTCACACACTAGTCCTCCCCCTCTCCTGACCAGTCAGTTTGAATGGTAGTATAAGGGTTTGTTATGAAATTTGCATGGAGTTTCTCCTTAAAATCCATACAAAATGTGGTGGGTACCCCATTACTTTTTTTTTCTTTTTTTTGTAGAGTCCCCCTTAAAATCCATATCAGAAATGAAGGGCCTGGTATGAATTTTGGAGGGACGCCAAAATTTCACTACCTCCGCATCTTTCTTTACATTCAGCTGTCAATCCTTGGCTGAAAACTTGGGATGAGTCACTGTCTGTTAGTGCCAGCTCCCTAACAACCAGGCGTCCTGAGCAGAAAGCTGTCCCATTTAGGCACTAGTAGTAATACCAAATAAATATTTCACTTCCCAATGCCACTGGAGGTTCACTCAGCCAAACACCCATTCGTTTGGTCATTCCAACAGGTATTTCCATACATTTTGTACACAGTGCACAGTTCTCTATCATAATATTTCCTCTTACAGTTGAATGTTCTTAGCCTATTTTATCTATTGGTAGAATGTTCTTTAACTCTTCTGACTGGACATTCTTAAGACTATTTTCTCTTACAGTCGAATGTTAGGAAATGTTACATTCTCCCAGCGAACGCCAACAATTAGAAATTGACAATGAACACAATATTACAAACATTAGGGTTATTATATGTGCCTTTTGTGTGAATGCGTATTTGCAAAGCAAATTTTTTAAACATAGATCCCCTAAGTGCTTAACACTTGCTGCTGTAAGGATTGTCATAATTGACCCAGACTTACCCTATCAATGCTTCAATGTTTTAAATAATGGTTTAAGTATTTTTACAGTACAGCATGCATCTCTTGGATGAACGTGAGTACTTAACTATGCACATAAAGCATATCTAAATAGGAGACATCAGTAGTGAAGTGCACTGTAGCAGTGCCTATAGTGTCAGAGTAGGCAACTATTTCAGCAAAGTAAAAATAAAAAAATACCGATGGATACATAGCAGTGAATGCCGGAAATTAGATTTAAAATAATGCATAATAAAAGAGAAATATGGCCAATGCTCCTTTTAGAAAACAGTCCAGGACAAATAGCTTGGCATTTTGTGACTGCTTAATCTAGGTTTTTTATTTTCAAGGATTTGCTGCCATCTATTGTTACACATGCAATATTTAAACACTTGAGGACTGACATGTTAAACTCCCTTCTAGTCCAGGCCATTTTGTTTTTCAGTTTTCTGCTCTATGATACCTTAACTGACAACTACTCAGCCATGCAAAACTTTATCCAAATGATCTTTATATATATTTTTTAGACATTTTGGCATTATTTAATAACCACTGAGTTTTCTTTTTTTAACTATATAAAGGGAAAAAAGACCAGAAAATTTGAAAAAAAAAAATGTTTCCCTTACTTTCTGTTATAAATCATAGCAGATACAAATGCCAGGGCAGACTCAAAATGACCCCTTTTTGTTTTGATTTTTTGCCACAATTTTGTGGAAATTAAGAAAAATGTTGGTATTGAAGGGTTAAAAATTGAGCTTGATGATGGTGCACTAGTCATACACAAGGGGATTGGAAGATGATGGGGTTACTGTACAGATCACATACAATGATAAAGTGGAAATTAAAGGGTTAATGTGTAGAACAAGGCAGGAGAGAGGTTAATATACAGGTCAGATCAGGGACAGGACAGGGCCAAAGTATACTATAGAGGTGATTACAGTAGAGGGGTGTGTAGCAGTGACTCTAGTTGCTGTTTTTTTTTTTTTCACACGTACTGGCTGTCATCAGGAACTTTTTTTTTCTTATACAGCCATTGTTGTGTAAGACAAAAAGTAAAAGTTGTGCCTACAACCAGTGTAAACGATGTGTAATTATTGCAATTGGTCATAGCGATCACATGGTACAGAGCTACTCTCTTTTGCTCTGTACATTCAAAGCACTTTAAGAGAGGCAGTCCTTAGACAGCCTCCTGTCCATGTACTTGCACTGTTGGATGTGTATGTACAATGTCCAGATGGCAAGTGGTTAAACACACAGTGCTTGTTTTTGTTTGGATATTCTGGTTGCATGTTATGCGGAATGTCAGAGATATAACATTACCAAAGTTTCAGTCACCTGATAAAGAGGGCAGGTATAATATGAAAACTAGAACCATCAATTAGATAGTAAATTTCTGCTGAACTTCCAGTGACATGAATTCTTTTACTGTAGCTTTCCCGTGGGTGGCACTCAGATAGGAGGTGAATAGATCTATTGCCTATACAGTGACTTTCGGTATACCACAATATCACACCTCACAACTTTCTGAAATGTAGGCAAAGGACATGTCCCTGTCATGGCCCTAATTACCGGTACATGGACCACAAAGTTCTAATACAGTTGCAAGAAAAAGTATGTGAACTCCTTGGGATTACGTGGAGTTTTGCATGAATTGGGCATAAAAATGTGCTCTGAACGTCATCTAAGTCACAACAATAGAAGAACACAGTCTGCTGAACATAATACTACACAAACATTAGATGTTGCCATGGTTTAATTGCACATAACATGTAAACATTCACAGTGCAGGGAGGAAAAAGTATGTGAACCTTTGGACTTAATAATAACTGGTTGACCCTCCTTTGGCAGCAATAACCTCAACCAAACGTTTCCTGTAGTTGCAGATCAGACCTCACAACGATCTGGAGTCATTTTGGACCACTCCTCTTCACAAAACTGTTTCAGTGTAGCAATATTCTTGGGATGTCTGGTGTGAATTGCTCTCTTAAGGTCATGCCACAGCATTTCAGTCGGGTTGAGGCCAGGACTCTGACTGGGCCACTCCAGAAGGCGTATTCTGTGCTGTTGCAGCCATTGTTTTGTTGAATTACTTGTATGCTTTGGATCATTGTCCTGTTGCATCACCCATCCTCTGCGGAGCTTCAGTTGGCGGACAGATGGTCGTACGTTTTCCTGCAAAATGTCTTGATAAACTCTGGAATTCATTTTCCCATCAATGGCAACAATCCGTCCAGGCCCTGAGGCAGCAAAGCAGCCACAAACCATGATGCTCCCTCCGCCATGTTTTACAGTGGGGATGAGGTTTTGATGTTGGTGTGCTGGGCCTTTTTTTCTCCACACATAGTGTTGTGTGTTCTTCCCAAACAACTCAATCTTGGTTTCATCTGTCTGTCCACAGTATATTTTGCCAGTAGTGCTGTGGAACATCCAGGTGCTCTTTTGCAAACTTCAAACGTGCTGCAATATTCTTTTTGGACAGCAATGGCTTCCTCCGTGGTGTCCTCCCATGTACTCCATTCTTGTTTAATGTTTTCCTTATTGTAGATGTGTCAACAAAAATGTTAGCATGTGCCAGAGATTTCTGTAGGTCTTTAGCTGACATTCTGGGATTCTTCTTTACCTCATGCAGCATTCTGCGCTGTGCTCTTGCAGTCATTTTTACAGGACGACCACGCCTAGGGAGAGTAGCAACAGTGCTAAACTTTCTCCATTTG